GGGAGCGCCGCCGCACTCCCAAGCGGCGCACTGTAGCAGTGCGCCACCGGGCCGGCCCGTGGATAAGTATTAACAGTGGAAAAGCACTAATTTGTTAATGTTATACTTTAATTTGTTAATGTTAAACTTGACTTTAATAGGTTTATTTTAAAAATTCATTAAAATTACTTAATCAAAATTACCAGAGCATGTGCCTTAAAATTCTAATGGTCTTGAAATGCTCGTGGTGGAAAGGTCTTTCGTCTTGCTCTTCCCTGCTCCAGCCCTGTTCTTTAAAAGTCTCATTTAACCATTTCCACTCTCTGATGATTCATTGAGTGTTCCTATATTTCTAAACAATCTTCTTATGCCATTACTTCTTGATTTTCAACCTCAGACATTTGATGCAGTTGATGAGGATATAGCTGCTCTGTTCCCCTCACCCCCGTCCCTGTGGTTGACAGTAATGCCACTCTTTTAATCCCTTTCTTGGTGACTGCTCTACCTTTTAAAACTGCATCTTGGAGCCTCTGTTTATTATTCCAGCAACTCTGACAGGATCTCTTGGATGCCCACTTCGGGAGGTGAGAATGTGAACACCGCCCTTTCTCTCTTGAGCCCTTGCTTCTCTGTTAGACCTTCACTTTGACGTTATCAGGGTGGATTACGTGTGTATTCCTTTCTGTGATCATAATTCAGACCTTTGTGCTTTCTCTATAGAATAATTCTGAAAGCTGAGTGTCAGTCACCAATGACCTGATTACTGTGACATACGGATGTGTGTCTGCCTCAGTGGCCGGGCTCAGGGTGGCAGTTGGGTTTCTCTCACTGCAGCTCTGGGTCACCACTCAGAGGAGAATGTTCCCAGTGTCTGGTCAAGCGGCCCCTCCTACCAGCTGCCCAGTCATGCCATGTTTGGGATTGCTTCACCTCTGGACTCTTTCCTATGCAGTGTCCCCTCCCCTCACCCCACCCTCCCATCTTTCCTGAAGTTTGACTGCTTTTTTCTTGCTGAGAGAATACTTATGTACTCTTTTCCCTAATGCCAATTTCTTTTTCTTTCTTTGTATTGCTTGGAATCTGATTCTGTTCTGAAGATATTCTACATAGAGCTCCCTGTTCTGCAGGAGTGTATACCTCAGCATTTGGGGTCAGACCTGGATCCAGCCACTTCTGACATCAACCTTCAAGTGAGGGGACTTGGGTTTTCCCTAAGCCTGTGCTAAGTCCATTTATACTTTTTTGTCTGTACCTCTTGAGTGATGACTTTATTACCTTCTGTGTTAAGTAATGATCACTTCTTTGTCCATGTTATTTTTTCTGAAATGTGATTGACTTTGGATTTTTTTTTTGTTTTCATCTGGTCAAGAAATTAAGTTAACTTACCTGTGCTGTTAATGGTTTTATAGATTTTTTTTTTGTTATCAGGCTTAGGAATATCCTGCTTGCCAGTTATAGTTATTATTACCTTGTTCCTTGGTGATGCTGCTTTTTAAAATACATATTGCTAATATAGACTTCCCAATTCTTTCTATGAGTTGCTACACAAATTCTACTTTGAGGACTTTTGGAAAGGATGTAGTAAAAATTTTAAAACAAATTTGGACCCTTGGGTTTATGGCTGATCTTCTCTATTTGAGTAGACATAAAGGAAGAAAGACTTCCTCCAATTGCCTCCGCCTCCCCAATCTTTGTCTAATTTAAATGCTGGGCCCTGTTCTGACATACTGGTGCTAGCTGCTTATTTCTAATCCTCCAGCTGTGTGCCACCAAGCTAGATATTTTCTGTTATTCTAACAGTATTGGCAGAAGTATTGCCCAAATGATTCACTGCCACACATGTAATTCATGAAGTCAGAACGTGGCCTTTGGTCATGTCTGAGAAGCACAGACACATGGCAGAGCTGAGGATCCAGCCTCCCACCCAGGCTGGTGAAGAGCGCGGCAGGCTGAGCACTCAGCCTCGTGAGCAGGAACGAACCCCCAGCTGCTGTGGGGATGTAGCTGCTGTTCTGCACGCGTCCTCTGACTGGAAGATCAGTGTCGTCGTGTGGCACTGAAGAAGGACCAGGTATCCGAACAATTTTCAAGTTCCAAAATCCTTAGGGAGGAGGGTTAGCTTCTATCAACTCTATTTTAAAATAAACTATTTGTAGTAGTGAGCGTTGCACATCAGAAGGATAAACTGGTTAACTTCTTAAGGGCTAAGTCACCAAATAATTCTTGTGTATTTTCAGTAGCTACAGTTGGAAAAGCTTTCCTAAAATCTGATTTACCCAGTGAAAACAAATGTATGGTATCATTATATTAAACCTATGGTAAGAATATATAAATATAGACTGACTTACAAAATGAATCACATGTTGGCTTCCATGAGAATGCTAAGACAGGATGATGTCTTGGCCCCTAA